ATGTGAGTTGTACATATTGCCCAATCGCATCCTCCACTCTTGGTATTGGCCTATCACTCTTCCTCGGACGGTTAGTATTTTGTGGAATGGCATCATCTGCGAAACCTTCATCATCACTCATAGCACCAGCGCTCTCGGATGGGGGACCTCTTGGTCTACCAGATGTTGAAGAACCCCTATGTCTACGAGCCTTGGGAGTCCCAGCTCTTGAAGAATTTCCAAAGTCTGGTGTTGGCGCATCGGACATCATTACGGATGCCATTTTGTGCTAAAATTGAAGGAATGGCGAGTGAGTTGGTTGATTAATGAATTGTTTGTTGTTGTTTACTTTTGAGGGGCATAAATTTAGGAGTCGTCAAAAATTCCACGTCGCGTTGCCAAAAACACGGAGATTTCTATCCTAGCGCGACCAGGTTACCGTAATAGATTGATTTTTGACATCCCAGCACCTGGTGCACCCAATAGCTAGAGTACGGTACGTGATACAGACTTTACACGCAATGTACTAATAATTTCCACTTGTGCATCACACAGTCTTACCAATTGCAATTGCCAGTGGTGGTCCTCTCCTCATTACCAGCCATTATGCAGTATCACGAATCGTGCTGTTCCTTCATAGCATCGAAAAGCCTTACCGAGCCCACCATTTAGTATCTCAAAAAAGATCAATTGTGAGTTCGTGGACAGATGAGCTGATCTTAACTCTTTACGACCAGAATTCTGGAATCGTCCTTTAAAGGAAGGTCCTCGCAAGAAAGATGACGACGCCAAAATAAGGACGAGAGTGTAAGTTTCAATCTTTTTGGTCGTGGAAACGAAATGACCAAGAGTGTAAAGTCTTCCTCGACATTGACTGCTTGCTTATTGCTGATGTTGCTCATTGCTGATGTTGCTCTATCATGAATATTTTGAGGGGATACGAGAGAATTGCACCGTCTTCACTTGGCCCAATAATCCTACCAAGAATTTGCCGCAACAATTCCGACGTTAACAAGCGTGTATTATCACTGAGCTCCTAGTAGCATCAAATGCGATATTGATAGGACGGTGAATTGTGATTCGTCTGCTCGCCCTTGGCAGGACTTGGGAGCCTTGGAGCGCAGCCATCAATGTGCTGTACCAATCACAAGTGTGAAATATTGTACCACAAATAATTCTGATTTGATCATTCTGGATTGCAACAAGACATCGGCGCAAAGACCAAGACTACAAAAACTTCGAGAACCGCCTCTCATCTCTTGACCACCTTCCTCATCAAGAAGGGCGGATACTCCCAGTGATCATGAGGCACGGCATGCATCTCGAGAATATGTTGATTTTCCAAATTCAGGTACAGGCCCGAGGAAGCTCTTGGGGCTGTGAATTGAGGTTGTCGTATATCGCATTGTGAAGAGTAGGATGTCGGGACTCGTCAACCAAAAATCATAATGGGTAGGCTATCATCGGGACCTAACAAGCAGGAAATGTAACCTCTTTGGATGCTGCATGTGAATACGACTTCAAATACCAAGGAAAGGAAATAAATGTTTATCATGCCAAGTGTTGCATTGGGTGACATGAAAATGGTTAGTGAATTTTGACACCATGTCGTGCTACCCTTCATATATTCTCCTGTTTCCCCTCAATATCATCCCATTTCAATTCATTGTTATCATACTTGTGATTTATTTTAAGCTCTTTCACTGCGAACTCTACCCTCGGCTGCATGAATTCAAGAGTTACTTGTTGATGGTACTTTACTTTGACCATACTGCATATTGGCTTTCATGAACCGCATGTCGATACCCAGCTCGAACTGTGCTGCGAAACTCTCCACCTAAGACATAAAACATGAGTACTTATTCCTCACATCAAATCCATTGATGAGGCGCCAGATACTAATACAAAACTGTTAGCTTCCACGGCTACTACCACTGATGCACTCACCAGTGCTCCAGTATATCAAACCGGTCTGCTGGCAAACGCGCCAGATAATCTTGATGCCAAAATCTCCAGTGAAATTCATGCCTTCGATCATGAACCCTCCCTCGACGAGGATGGACTATTACGTCCCACTGAAGAAGAGAGAACTACACTTCGCAGAATTTCTGGTTCAATTCCATGGACTGCTTATATGATCTGTCTCATCGAATTTGCAGAGCGCGCAAGCTATTATGGTTGCCAATTTGTCTTTTCGAACTTTGTTCAATTCCCACTTCCGTATGTCCCCATATCTCCACGAGGATATGTTGTTCAATCCCGCGTCCACTGCTTACTGAACTAATAGCAAAGGAGGAAATGGAGCTGGCGCAACCCCCAAAGGTACCCAGCTCACACCAGGCGCTTTGGGTAAAGGTCTTACTGTTTCATCGGCCCTTGGTCTTTTGTTTAAATTCTTAGCATATACAGTACCTGTCTTTGGGTTCGTTCAGCACTTCTTCGTTTTTGGTTATCTCTTGCTTACTTAGACCTACAGAGGATGGCTCGCAGATACAAAATTAGGACGTTTCAAAACTATTTGTATCGGAGTTTTTGTCTTCGGAGTTGCGCATCTTGTTTTGGTTCTTGGAGCCTTACCTAGTGTATTACAAGCTGGTCATGGCATGGCACCATTTGTTATTGGAATTTTGATCTTGGCGTTGGGAGCTGGTATGTCTTATGAAATGCATCTAAATGTACAATGTTGATTGAAACCTCAGGTCTATTCAAAAGTAATGTTTCTCCTATGCTTCTCGACCAGGACACACAAAAGGGACTCATAGTCAAGACTCTACCCGATGGAGAACGTGTCATTCTTGATCCTGAAGTTACTGCTCAGAGACTCGCTCTCGCATTTTATGGTATGGTCAATGTTGGCGCATTCTTTGGTCTTGCTACAACGTATTCTGAAAAGAGAGTTGGGTTCTGGCTGGCTTATGCATTACCAATGGTTCTCTACCTCTTGCTTCCGATATTGCTATGGGCAATGAATAAACGACTGGTCAAATATCCACCGCAAGGAAGCGATCTGGGAAAGTTTTTCAGAGTTATCGGTACCTCCCTGAGAAGAAATGGCCTGAAGAAATTTGGGCGCAAGGGTTATCTCGATGCTGCAAAACCTTCGGTTCTCGCTGCAGAAGGTATCACTGGTGAACATAATGGTAAGCCAGTAGACTGGGATGACAATTTTGTCGAGGATGTCAAACGATCTTTGGAAGCCTGCACTATTTTCTTGTTCTTTCCAATCTACATCTTGAATGATGGAGGTATAGGAAACATCACGACATCCCAAGGTTCAGCAATGGTAACCAACGATGCACCTAATGATATTCTCAATAATTTCAATGCTCTTACCGTTATCGTTACCATCCCCATTCTTTCTTACGGAGTTTATCCACTTCTCCGTCGCCATAAGATTCATTTTGGTCCTATCAAGAGAATAACATTTGGTTTTCTTATTGCCGCGGTTTCATCTGCCATTGGCGCGATCACTCAATGGAGAATCTATGAAACATCCCCATGTGGATATTATGCCACTGGTTGCGAAATAGGAACTGGTGTTGCTCCACTTAGTATCTGGTGGCAACTTCCTCAATGGATGATTGGAGGTATATCGGAATGTTTTTGCAATGTCACTGCCCTTGAACTTGCCTATTCAAGAGCTCCTGCGAATATGAAAGGTCTTGTCACTTCCATGTACTTGTTTGCTACAGCTCTCTCTGCTGCAATTGCACAAGCTTGCACTCCGAGTTTAGTGGACCCGTATTTGATTTGGCCTTATGTTGCACCAGCGGTATTGGGAACTTTAATGGCAATCTGGTTCTACTTTTTGTATAGACACCTTGATGATGATGAGTATGTTAGAGGTGGTGTCGGTGATAATTTGGGTGAGGAACCAACAGTGGAACGTAGGGAGTCAATTAGGACTGCTGATGCTACTCAAGAAGTTAGACCAAACGAAAAGGTTTAGTTGTGGCTCATTGTCCGTCGAGCCAGTGTTCAAGATGATAGGACTTCAGATAGTGTCTTGATCTGAAATCTGCGCGCATTCCTTTGGTAACGGTGGCTGGTCAGGGTTTTCACTATTTAAGTAGTTTTTGAGGAATGAAACAATGTCACTAAGATAGTATGAATAATTACTAAAATGAATGTTAGTTGTCAAATGCTCAGCCTGGGCTAGCATTCTGTCATTTTGGACCATCATGTACCGCATAGCAGATATTTTCCGGTCATCATTAAATGGAAACTATCCTATTTCAACATCTCCCAATAAGAAAGGTATCCTATCTTGTATATACAATAGAATTCATTTTACAACCCACTCCACTCCACTTGCCCGTATGCTGGTATGTTCTAGAATCTAGAGAAACATCAAGTCCTATCGAAGAGTAGTAATGCAGTAGTCTCATCGTGATAGCAGGCTACTAGATGGATCCGCATTCGCGATCTCAGGAGTGGATTCGAGTGGCATGGTTCCCTGTGGATCAAACCAATGGATTCTGCGTCCCGGATCTATCAATCGTGGGGCTTACCGGAATAAAGCTGTGTTAATTCGTGTCAATATTCGTTTGAGATATATAACTCCATGGTCGATTGAGCAATGGGACATGTACAACCAACTCCACGGGTTTGTTTGTTTGTTTGAGGACGAGATTTGGGAGGCAATGGGACTATTGGATTCTATCATAAACTGCAAGAAGCGAGGTTAATTCATGCACTTTGCAAGGAACAAATGGAGGATGCAATTATAAAATGTTGAATTAAACAGTGACAAAGTACATGATTAACAGAATTCCACAATACAAGACAAGCCCCTTAGATTATAGAAGATTACAACTGTGAAAGTGTAGTCTTGCTTCCCCCACCGCCGCCTACCACCTTGTATACTAAGCGCATGCAAATCAAACATCTTCTGCCAACAGATACAACTCCCAATACCTTGATAAGATTTTCAAGTAACCTTTACAGCTTCAATGTAGCCATTTAGGCTTTAAAGGCTGCGCATTGAGCAGGATGGCAAATGTTTATCGGGGCAGTATCCCCTACGCAACGTGTGCAGATACGGCCTTCGCAGCACTTGAGGGTATCGGAGCAATATCCTGTTCAAATCCCCAATGATCAGTCTTGTTTTTCATGGTACGCAAATCCAAGCTGTGAAAGTACGCTTTAAGAGGCCGCATGATTCTGAGACTTACCATATATTCCTGAACAGATTTCATTCGCCGCTTCTCTACTCTCTTTCACGAGGTCTCTCTTGCCCAGGTCATTTTGAGGCCTGCTTCTAGCTCCTTGAACACCTGTAACGGTATCAGCTGGAATGCCAAGAAAAGGGTGAGATTACGTCAAACATACCTGCTATCTCAGTAGTAGCATCAGGCGCGGCTGCAAGTTGACTAGGCATGGCCATGACCGAAGCCAAGAGTAATGTAGTTGCAAAGAGGAACTTCATGGTGGTGATGTATTGGTGGTTGGTATGCTTGCACTGTTATAATGTTTGCAAAGAAAGCTTGATGGTATGTATGAATGACTTGAATGATTGAAAAAAAAGGAATATGAGCACCTTCTTATACACATCAAGTTGAAGGTAATCATGATTGAGCCTCACTTTGTTCGATTTAGTATCGGCACTAGTATTGTCTTGATTGAGGTGAAGATAATCAGGTGTAAACCATACACAGATAATTTCAGTGTAAGCTTTCTGACTTTTTGAGACACGGGTGGCGATCGTCCAACGACTATACGCTAGGCGGGAATAGACGAAATAAAACTTAGCTCAAATGTACCGTGTCTCATATTTTATTTGAGAATACTTAATCAAGAGAATATGATAATGCTGTAATCTATAATTGTCAAGAATTCTGCATCACGCACGAAGGTATATACTATCAATCTTGTCTCACCGCCTTCGAATTTAAAGGTTCCAAGGTTGATTTGTGTGCGCAGAATGATTTGATAGATGGTAAATCGAAGGCGGTGAAACTAAAATTTGAGAGTTCACCTCCATATAGCACTATCTTTTAGTACTTCTTCATGGATCGGTGATATTTCAATATATATAGGATTGTGAAGATCGATATTAATCAGAGATAGGACATTTTATGATGATACAGTCTCGATGAGAGCTTGTGGAGAATTGTTTGGCAAACAAGTTTCTTCAATGAGAATAATGATCGGTACAATAACAATGAGGATGGAATAGAGTTGTGATCTAGTTTATAAACTCTCTGATAACAGAGAATTAGTACAAGCACGACGGATAGCAATTCTCCGAATGTAAGGGAAAATAAATTGTGAGATGTTGTTTCCCCAGACTACTTGTCTCAGATTGAATCTTGATCGACCAACCTTATATCCACGTTAAAACGGTAGTCATATTCAAATGTCTTTAATTTCGATAATCGTCGTAGATCGTAATTAAACTACTATATGAAGCTGTTCTATACTACTTACTCATAGAGATGAAGACAATCCCTCGGACTACTTAGGTTTTCCTAGTATTCCTTAATCTCAACCCTTTGTCTAACTCAATTGAAACCCCTCTTTAAAGTTTGACCTGTATGTTTAGGGTTTTAATACTCAATATCTTTCTTTCTGTCTTATAACCATATAGTAGAAAGTGATTAGAGAATATTCTTCAAACCTATATTCCAATAGATGGCTATATAGAGGTCAAAGAATAGTCTTAGCAACTAGTCAGCTAAAATACTACACTCGGTACAATAGAATACCATACAACTACCACTCCCATACGATTATGCCAACACCTAGTTCCTTTCCTTTTGTATCACCGTTGCTTGAGATTCAATATTCTTCGACATGAAGGTTCTTATGTGCCGGTAATCAATGTACATATCAAAAAGTACACCCTTTCCCTGTTGTCTCCCTCGCTCCCCTCTTCTTCATGATGCATAAACCTTTGAACACCTGTGTCGAGATCCTAATACCACATTATCTAAGCCCATGAGCATAACTTGGTATCAATAGCCAGCACCTGCGCGCTAATCCTAATCCTCTTGTCCACAGGTACATTCGGCGTCCCACTTGTAGTAATATACAAAATATGACTATCCCACGACGTACATCCAGAAACCGCAGCTGTCGGTCCTGCTACACTCGTAGAATTGAGACTACCCGCCACAATCTCGGTAGTAATCAGACCCCGTGAATCTACCGCTGGCGCAACCACGCGCTCGATAGAATTTCCAGAGCCGGTCGTAACATAAGCAATGGTGTCGCGGAGTGCAAAGTCATCCTACAACCAAGTAGAGCTCGCCTCGTGGGACAGGATTTCAACTGCTGCACCTGTAACTTCTTTGCCGTCTTTGTGGATGGGAAAGCGTACAAGCATGCCTAGACCTGTATTGGTGAGGTAAGCCATTCCGTCTTCGATTTTGATGCCGTTAACCCCTACAGCCCCAAGGCTGGTGTGTTAATGTACCTGTGTGTAGGTGTTGTTGATGGCAATGAAATATTTTCCGGAGATGGGGTCTAGATTGTAGACTACGCCAGCGGCAACATCGTTGACGAGCACATTAGACGGCCCAACGCCCCACCGAGGCAAGGAAGTCATACCGTTGAGAAATTGACCTGAAGAAATGTTTGCAATGGTGAACGATGTTGCCGTGGTCTGCGTTAGATTTAAAGAATCGACACGACAAGTGCCAGCGACTGGACCTGTACTCGAAGAGAAGCCACCACCATTTACGGCGTAGACACCATGATCATACTCGGTGATGCCAAATATGGTGAGGCCATCGAAATTATGTACAACTGTCGGGGTATAGTTCGAGTGTAGGGGGTCATTGTTATGGACTGAAGAATTATAAGGCAGTGTAAGAAGAAGCTCGCCATTAGGACGAACTGCAATAGCCTCGAAAAATGTTCCGAGTGGGTATTCGTAAAGAAGGCGAACGGCAGTTTCGTTTCCAGAAGACAATACTCTTGGTTTCTGGTGTGGTGGATTTGCAAGTGCTAATGCAGGAGCGGAAGCACATGCGAGCAGATTCACAAGGGGAGCCTACGCCATGTCCTCCGCAGAAGACCTCTCAATAATGCCTCCATCATATACCGTATATAAGCCGCCATAAGATACTGGTTCCTCATCCACCAGTACCTCGTTAAGGTCAGCAGTAGCCAACCAAGACGTTTGTCGATCAAAACCTTCTGTCTTCTTGGCGTTGGGCCTTAGGGTCCCTTTGAAAGTGATACATCATATGTGACGAGAGGAATCTATGCGAGAGAGAGTCTCGATAAGTCCATCAACATCGCACCGCAGTTCTTTGCGATTGTCGACTGTAATAAAAATTTGCCGAAAGACGAGAAAAATTACTGCCTCATGGCAAGCCTTGCTTGTCAAGCTAAAGGCGTAGAGAATAAGCCGATGCGCTGCTTCGACAAAACCTGCGATATTCTGTAGTACTTTAAGTGGAAAAGAAAGAAAAGCTATTCTGGTTGCGCTTGTAATAGAGGCCCTATATCCTATGAATGACAATGATAATTGAGGAAAGTAAGACTAGGTCGAGATATTAATCTCTCAATGCAGCCTGTGTTGAAACAATGATACAGTAGGCTAGTAAAGTAATTCTTATCTAAATTCAACGAGTAGGTCTTTGAGTGTATGTTTTAACAGTTGATGTAAGGAAAGCTCATCTGATGTGACGGTACTCTGCTGAGGCTTTTACCCAGGTAGCGCTTAGCCAACTGCAGTGTAACACGGCGTTGATCGCACGCTATAACTGTGTTAATACTTCGGAATTCGTATTTTGGTAATCTTATATGATTAGTACAACGCCTTCCTACATAGGATTGTAACCTCATGACGGTTTGCTATTGAACTAATAATTATTAAATCAATTATTGTTGCTCCAAATCTTGGTTTTTATGATTTTAACTACTTAAAATTCAATTTCAGATTTCAATCATTATAGAGTTATTAATATTAATATAAATACCTCAAATGTCTACACCTTAAATAATCTCGAGATAGTTAGTATTCTCCTAAGAACTATCTTCTCTTATATACTTTTTATATAAAACTTTATAACTTTTGAAAACTAATAATAAATTGAAACGAAAGTTATAAAGTTTTTTTGATAGATATATCAAATAATTCTATTAAAATTATATTATACTTTTTGTAAAAGAATAAAGAACATCAATATTAATTTTAGTTTATATCTTTTATATAAAAAACTTTATAATTTTTAATTTAGAAAATTAGAGTAAATTTAAAGTTATAATTTTCTTTATAAAAGTAAGATCGAAAAGATTTTATTCTAATTGAATTATATTTATAAAAAGAAAGTAAAAATAATAGTTTTTATTATAATTAACGTAACATATGGGGAACTTGAATATATAGGGAACTCGAATACTTTTAGTCTATTATCAACTTGAAATTGTAATAACTTTTATTATATATATTTAATTACTTTCTATATTTATTCAAATTAAAAAGAAACTTTAAAAGACTATAATTTCATTTCAATTGAAAAAATTTAAATCAATTAAAAAAATTATAAAGTATTTTGAAATTCTTAAATCTATTTTAACTAATAAATTAACTAATATTGTTTTAATTAAAAAATAATATAATAAATATATCTTTTTAAAGGCATTCAATCTAATATTAGCTTATTATATAATCAGATCATATGATCGTCGCTTATAAGCTTACGAAAGCAACCATTAATCCGAAAACAACCATCAATTCGAAAACGACCATTAATCCGAAAACGATCATTAATTCGAAAACGGCCATAAAATACGAAAACGACTATAAAATAAAGAATACAAAAAGGGGCTTTATTTCGAAAAAATGAACGGATTAGGAAGAGATCTACAAGAGATTAACGAAAGCGGAAAAGCTAAATTAGTAGGAAAAAGCATAAAAAGAGGTCTTTTTTCTTTTAAATGTAGAATAAGAGAGATTATTATTCAATACAGATTCTTTAATATCACGTGCTACACTGCTTATATAATCTATTTTAGTTGTTAACTAGAGCCAGCTTCTATTATATACTATTAGCCTATGACCAACGATAATATTAATAATATATTTTAAATAAAAAGATTTATTAATTTTAATATATACAAACCTTATATAAAACTTTATAACTATTAATATAAAATATCTAATTTAATCAAAAGTTATAAATATTTCTTATAAATAATATTAAAATAATTTTTATTCAGATTCATTATTTATATTTATTAAATATAATATATAGTATAATATTTATTTCTTTTAATTATTAAAAACTAATCTATATAAATCAATTAGATGAGATTACTTTATATTGTTATATAGAAGCTTTTAATTCAAAGTGACTGAAAAAAGAATAAAGAAAAATTAAAAAAATTTAAATTCTTTTAATTTAGTAAAGAATATAAGAAAGCTTTATTTATAAGAATAATTATATTAAGAAAGATTTATAAGAGATTAATAAAATCTATAAAGTTAGACTAAATAGAAAAAGTATAAAATAAGACTTTATTCCCTTAAATATAGAATAATAAGAATAAATGAATTTATCTTTTAAATTCAATAAAAATCACATGTAATATTGCTTATATAATTATTATTAGTTGTTAATCAGAGCCTGATTCTTATATTAGACTTAATTATTAGTCTAATCCTCTTATAAATCAATTTCATTATATACTCATGAGCTATAATAAAATCAAATAATAAAAAGTAGTTTTAATATTTAATTACTATTAATATCAGAAATCGCGCTAAAAGCATGAGGCGTGTTAAGTAATTAGAATAATTAATATAGTCAATTTTATTATATATAGCTTTTAATAAAATATATACTATACCGTTTCTAATTTTATAATTTATTCTTATATCTTTTCTATATCCTAAAGGGATTAAATTTTTCTTTTTGATTAGATTAAGATTATATTCTAAAAGTTTTATTCTCTTTTTTGCTCAGATATTTTTAGGGTTAGATATTATCTTAATATTAATAGTAATCTAATAATTAATAATTAATGAATTGTTTTCAATTAAGGAAATAAAGAAATTTATTAAAAGTATATAATAGTAATGAAGCAACTAATGTTTTATAATATAAACCCTTTTTATTATTTCTTTTAAATTACAAAAATTTATAAGTATATTCAAACTATTGTTAGCTTGAAATAGATTCATAGATTTGATATTATATACTCCCTTAGGTTCTATATTGATTAACTGTTATATATTCTAGATAAAATTATTAAATTTGAATAGCTTTCTTTACTAGAACTATTGATTTACAAAACCTGTATAAATCCCTTAATTTAAAGAATAATTGAATTCTTATTATAGATTTAAAGTTCTGATTTAAAGTTAACTTAACCCTAGTAATATCACCTTGAAAATTACTTTAATTTATTAGTAAAATATTCGATCAATAATATACTTAATTATCCTATTGTTTTACTACCTTCTATAAATAAGAAGTGGTTAATTTAATGAGTGTTCTAACGGAAATCAATTATAAAATATACCCTCGTCTTGTACTCTTTTCCTAATGAAATAGATTATCGTTAATAATAGTCATTAAAAGAACCTTAAAATAATAGTTAGGGTTGAATTATTTGCTATTACGAGTTCGAAGTAAAAGCGAGTTATTTATTACTATATAAAATATTTATACAACTTGGAATAAAGAAGAAACTCCTTAATTTAGATGGTTTTACTAAGATTTTAGTAATTTGCGTACTGAGATATATATTTATAATACTTTTTTCAGATAAAATTCATCACATAAATTTTGAAAGAGTGTAAATTCTAATTGACTAAATCTCGTCGATATAAGGAAAAGCACAACGACATTCTGATATTTTTAATAATACTTAAGCCTCAAACCTCCGTATAAATGACTTGTATAGCTCGTAGACTTCTGTGATACCTGATAACTCTGATCAGTTCAGTCCCAAGGCGTACCGCCGTCCCGAGGAGCGTGGATCGAGGTACGGCTTCTCGCCACACCCACAGATACGATTCCCCACCCGCTTGGCCGTGTAATCAAAGGTAGCGCACTATTATCAATATTATTCTTATTAGCCAATTTCCCACTATACCATCGAGCGAAAGAGAAGGGAAGATTCTAGAGAAGAGGAAGATCATACATGATATACCGCCCGGTTATCCCAAATAACGAGGTCATCAGCCGCCCACTTTACGCGGAGTTGCAGCTGGTGGTTGTCGACGAGCAAACGCTCCAGCAGCTCCAAAACCATACGGTTCTCAAGATCCCCCAGACCTTCAATAGCCTCGAGGTGGTGACCCATCGCATACAGACTCTTCCAGCCTGTCACGGGATTAGTGCGTACGGCGGGGTGGCTTGCTCGCAGCTCAGGACCGACGTTCTCGGGAGCACCACGTGACCCGTTCCACATACGATCGACGATATTTTCGGGACGATGGCCGGGCGGCATGAAAGTTGCCTATGGAGGGTGTGAGTATATTCACTTCATTCGGTAAATTCAGGCACAACAATGAATCATGGAAAAAAGGTCATACCTGGCAACTCTCCAGCAGCTTCGCCATGGGAGCCGAGAGCAGATCGTAGGCTTCGTATGCGGAGGCGAACAGGGTGTCGCCTCCTGATGCGGGAGTTACTTTCATGTGTAGTATGGTGTAGTCAGCGGGTACATTCTCGTAGCTACAGTCGGTGTGCCAGCCATCTGAGTGAGATTGCTTCTTTTCCTTCTTGCCGAAGCCAGCTTGTTGGACAAGCTTCTTCTTGGGGTCACGTCTATTTGAAGTAAATTAGTTCTTTTTTGTTCTTACGCTTGCGATTTTGATTGAGCCAGGAGCCATCACACATGAGGAAAAGAAGGAGCAAATACTCACGCCAATGTCGTCAACTCAGCATCAATCGTCCCATCCGGTAGTTCTGTCTGGTTCAATGGGTGAATGTTCAATCCTGAAGTATATGGACGAGTCGTCAATTGGCCCAGTCGGTGGCAGAGCAATTTCTGATCGGCAACTGTCAAGTTCTTCTGCCCAGGGAAGACGCATACGCCACGTTGAGAGATAGCAATGGCCAAGTCGCGGATAACAGCGTCGGATTCCTGCCCTCCTGATTGCAGAATCTTGGCAAGGTCGATGTCGTCGAAGGCTGTGCCTATCAAGGGAGTGAGCTCCCTCTGCTGATAGCGTGAGAGAATCCCAGTCGGCTGGAGTGGGGAGAGGTACTTCTGAAATATCAGAGGCCTATAACTGCTCACTGCAGGTGAAGTGATGGTCTCAGTCAATGTAGTTGAGATTGCCATTGCGAAGGTTTGGAAAGAAGCTTTGAAATAAGTCTACACAAGAACGAGCTCATAAGATACTGTTAAGTTGGCTGAGTGAGAGGCGAGATTCGTTCTGTTTAAGAAAGTTTGGAGGTATCTAAACTTTGTGAAATTTGAGGGCGAGTCAAGGGAAGATGTCAACTCTGAGCGTTAACTGTCAGAACTTATCTTATCCGCGTCTGTGAGATGTAAAGAACTTAGAAAAGTGTTTTGCCTTATTGTTGACTAGAAGTGGCTTCAAGAGCCATTTAAATAGTTCTTGAAAAGACTGTCAAACAGTCCATTGTTCGGACCTTTACGGGTCACTCAATAAGCCGTGGCATCATGTGATCATAAGAATGAGATGAGGTTATTCAGAACTTCGGCCGAAGCATCGGACAATTCTTCATAGTATCTAAAACTGAAAGTTAAAACAACCTGGTTCGTAGTTGCCCGAAAGATTGTAACAATCTGCTAAAAAAGCACGTCAGTGCATGGTGCCAGGATGTAGTTGCCCTGCTCTGCGTCCATTTGGCCAATGGGAATACTATGATCTGGAATGAAATGTAAGTGAACGTTAACATACTTTCTACGATCCTTCGGACATGTACAAAGTATAAGACATAAGATAAGACATCCAGCGTTTATGGTACTGAATACAACGGTCAACTTGAACGGAAAAGGCAGCTGCAAGTACACTGCCTATCTTGCATTATGGGTCATATGCTACCAGGGATCTATCTTCAAGGAGGTTCAGCTACCATGTAACAAGTGTCGTAACAATCTGAATACAGATTGAAGTGCTAAACAAGACTCCATTTTAATCGAGAAGAGAAATCACCCCGATTATCTTGCATTTCATATCAAGGATTCTATTCACTAGGAAGAGATGCGACTACGTGGCAGAGGCCAGCGGAATTGCTACAACTTTGTACTCACAGTTCATGTGCTTATGATGTTTTAATGACGAGAGATAAGAGTACAAAGCCGGCTTCGCTTCTTGATGAAGCGAAAAGTATTTTGAGAGGTATAAATACTGTTTTTTAGCGTATCGTTTCTAGGCTGCACAAAAATTATCTATATTTGCAAGTGAACTAGAGGTAATTCGCCCCATAGGTTACTCATCAGAGGCTCTACCTACCCTATATATTATCTACTAGAGATCTTATCTACTCTAAAGGTTATTTATAGATAATCTACAAATTCTATTTTCGATCAAATATTAAGCTGTTCTCAGATCATTTTGTAGCCTAAAAGTGATCCAAGTGTAAATGATCTGCAGATAATTGAAAAATCCACAAATAAATAAGTACCGGCAGGTAATGTATAAAAACTCCACGGATTACCCGTTTCAAGATTTGAATCACTTACTTTACGACGGATTACCTGCACATTGTCTGCTAGGATCATTATCCGCCCTGTGGGTACTCGTTACTCGACCTAGCCATATTTTTTATATAACAAATATGCGGTTTACGAGAGCATACTCGTTAAAATGTGACGCGGGGCTGAAGATTCCCATGTACCGGCTCCTTAACCTGGCTCCCCGATGAGTGTAAACATAATAACAAACTTAAATGTGTAAAATGCTTAATCTTAAGCCTCTAGATCCACGATCTAGAGCTTCTTGAGTTATTTGGCCCTCTTTTTAGACTTTTGGAAAATGCAAGGAGGAGTTGTGTTCACAAAAAGCTTAATAAATATTGAATGTTCTGCAAATCACAAAATACAACCGCGCAACAAGTGGAACGAACTCTAGAGCGTAACTCAAAGTATCAAATGTGAAAGATGCTTAATCTTAAGCCTCTAGATCCACTATCTAGAGCTTCTTGAGTTGTTTGACCCCCTTTTAGACTTTTGGAAAATGCAAGTAGGGGTTGTGTTCACAAAAAGCTTAATAAATATTGAATATTCCACAAATCACAAAGTACAACATACAATCACGCAACAAATGAAACAAACTCTAGAGCGTAGTCCAAAGTATCAAATGTGAAATCGAGGATGACTCCGCATGAGAAAACAGGAAGATTCGCCTTCGGGCATACCCGTCACTAGGCTGCGCAATGGGTACCCGCTGAGCAGATAATGACGCTAGCGAATAATCTGCAGATAAACCATTATAGATTAGATAATCCGAATATTTGAATGAATACTCGTGCGATCAGAAAGTATGCAACACTTCACCTACTAATCACCTTGTGTTTTGCCACTTAACGGGACGTGCATGTGAGTGGAGTGTGTCATACTTTCTAGCCGCACGAGTAATCTATAGAGCATTTGCAGATTGTCTGTAGATAACTATTCATTTATGAAAGTTTATTTACCTATACTCGTACAATCAGAAAGTATACAACTCCGGCGTTATGAGAACCGGATTAGTCCTCTTGTAGTTTATCATCTTATGATATATACATCTAGCATCGGAGTCGTATACTTTCTGGTCGCACATATAGATAATCTGTAGATTATCTATACGGAGTAGATAATATTAAACCCTCTATAGATATTCTATAATGCGGTTGAAATCTCTAACGGGTAACCTATAGGGCGGATTATCTACAGATTATCAAAATCCCACAGTTAATAGTCGGTTCTCTATGGACCAACCACCTCGTTCCAAGTCGGGGAAAGCAAGTGCCCTCGGAAAGCAAGTGCCCCCGGAAAGTAGGTAACCCTGTGAGTGAATTATGTCAGGGTCGACCACTTTACCACTAGCTCACAAAAGCGTGGAGTATTCCGGATCATTCGGAACAGTAAATCGTAATAGATAAACCCTGTCAGGTGATCGCTCCATGACAAATTGCATCAAAATCACACTAAAATCCATGAATGCTATTGGGCTGGACCAAGGATAGAAGTTGTTAATGTTTATAAAGGATAACATGCATTAGTCTCTCTAATCTATAAATGAGGGAAGCATATACATCAGGCACTTTGTAAGACATGGAGCCTTTAAAGTGGGCCTCTATCATAAGGCTTTACCGGGGGCAATGCGGATAACCCCACGCCCTACCATTCCCACGTCTAGAAATACACAATTTTAGAGCCAATCAGCTTCTCTCCAAACAAAGTAAAACGCCCTAAAACGGAAGTATTTACTAGAACTACAAGGCATTTGATGAATAATCCATTGAATGATCAAATCACAAAGCTTTACTGCAGCCCTAACCCACGATGAGCTTAGATAATCATTTCTTGCAAGCGTCGGCCAATTCTGCAAAAGAACACGGCAAGTATTGTGGTCCCCTGGTTTGGGTGGACATGAGCCCTCCTCCAACCATCCGAAGTCTGACGGGTTCACAACCTACCCCTGGTAAGTTGGTGAACCGAGGCTTACCCGAACGATTAAAGATTAGGAAGCACGATTCCCTCTTCATCTGCGGATTGTAAGGCGTACATATTCTCAAAATTGGCAAGTAGGAGGCACGGCAACAAAGAAGTCATCTACGCCGCACAGCATGAGCGAAACATCTCAGCAGCAGCTCCCGCTGCAAATTTTCACTAACGATAACACCACTATTGTCAACTCGGTCAACGACCATAGCAAACCACTATCGAAATCAAAAGATAGCGATTCAACAGCCACTGTTCAACTTAACACCTTCAAAGACCAGCAGTCGAACAATCTGCCGCACAAGAAGCTCATGCAAGTATTCCCACTCTTAGCTCTAGCACAGTTTACGGCATACCTAGATCAGACGTCTATCTCAGCAGCCGTGCCCAGCATCGGGGAAGCGCTAAACCTCGGCCCTCAGCTATCATGGGTAGCAACGTCCTACCTCATGGCAACGACGGCCGTGCAGCTACTCAATGGACGACTCAGCGACATTTTCGGCCGCAAGCAGTTGCTGTTGACGTCGCTTGGCATCCTTGCAACGGGTAACTTGATATGCGGGTTTTCAAACACTCCAGCCATGTTGTTTACTTTCCGTGTTGTATCTGGGCTTGGGGTGGTGCCATGTAAGCGTGTCAACCTTCTTACTCAAGTATCCTTCTTCCTTTCTTCGTTTTCAATTAACTGATTGTTATTATTTTTTCTAAAAAAAAAGAACGGCTCTAGTCCAAATCATTGCCAGCGATGTTACGACGCTACAACAGCGAGGCAAGTACAATGGCTTCATCGGTCTAGCGGTCGCTTTTGGAAGTGGATTGGGGCCTTTGCTTGGTGGTGCCATGGCGACCAAGGTTTCTTGGAGGTGGACGTTAGTATTCCCACCTATTATGACCACGTCTTAAGTGATATAGATTGCTGACGACAGCTCTAGCCTCTGGTATGATGTACCATGGCTAGTTATCTTGTCTATTATGCTCTTCACGGTGCTTCCAAGCAGCAAAATGGCTTCTGGCACCAGGTCGAAACTTGGTATGATTGATTGGATCGGTGTTGCTATGAGCGTTGCTGCTATTGTTCTATTGTTGGTAGGACCTCTCATTTTCAAATTTGCTGTTTGCTTTGGCTGATCTAAGTCAATCAGGTACCTTTGTCTCAAGGTGGCTCGACCTTTGCGTGGAACAGCTCCCTTGTCATCGCTATGCTCGCGATCGGAGCCGTCACTTTTGCTGTCTTCTTGGCTGTGGAGTGGAAGGTGGCTAAATTGCCCATAATGCCTAGTGAGTGCTTGCTATCTCGGCTATTGTATCACTTGGCATCTACTAACGTGGCAAAGTACACCTCTTCCGGAACGGTCTATCATGCAACATTCTTCTCGTCCAAAATGTCCTTTACGGCATCGTCTTCTGGGGCAACCTCTTTTACATGCCCATCTACTTAGTCAATGTCCGTGGCTACACAGCTATTATGGCAGGTGCTATTATTATGCCTATGGCAGGATCTCAAGGGCTGGGCTCCATCTTATCAGGTCTTATCATTTCACACACAAAGCGCTATAATCCCGTGATGGTCTTGGGACAATGGGTATGGGCTCTACTCCTCATCCCACAGGCCTTCTACTCACGCACCACACCCATCTGGGCCATCTGTGTCGTAGGTTTCTTCCAGGGCCTAGGTACAGGCTTCTGCTTCCAGCCAAGTCTTGTAGCCCTCCTGGCACACTCACGCCGCGCGGACCGCGCCGTGCTCAACTCGTTGCGCAACTTCCTGCGCACTATGGGAGGTACGCTAGGACTGACGCTGGCAAGTACTATCTTGAACAACGTACTCAAGACGCGCCTGCGAGGCGTGGTAAGCTCATCCGTCGCCGAAACATTGACGACTTCTATTAATCAACTTGACTCGCTGGGTCTGTCGGCTGCACAGCACAACGCTGTCCTGGACGCTTATATGGCTAGTGTACGTACCGTCTTCATATTGTACGCGCCACTGATCGGAGCTTGTGCTTTGGCTGCGTTGCTTGTTAGCGATAATGGACTTGAGGAGAAGGATACGAGTGTGACCCTGTCTCCCAGCACTCCAGCGCTAAGATCTTAAATCAAATCTACATATATTACCTGCTCCATTTCAGACTACAGAATAACGACATCCGCGGCGAAAAGAGTGGCGGTTGCTGCCCATTCGTCAGCAACCCATTAGTGGGGTTTTTGATCAGCTTGAGACTTAGTTTCGATCATATTTTAGGACAACTCTGGAACATCCGAATGGCCTACATTTATAATAGGTCTACCGGAGATCTATATCCGTATCGAATGTCATATAAATATATTAGAAAGCTTTTTAATTTCACATTAATAATAAATCTATCTGAAAGACTCAAAAAAGTTATAACGACATTACTACTAATTATCTCTTACTTTATAGATTATAATAGAAAACATATAGAAGGACTTTTAATTTGAATTATATATAGTTTATTAAAAGCTATATATAAGAAAGTTAAATTATTCTTATTCTCTAATATATTATATATGAAAAAACTTTATAATTTTTCATAAATAAATATATACACTTAATATCCAGGGCAATACACGTAATACCCCTGTATAACTACTGAAATAATCACAAATCAATTATATCTAAAGGCCTTATAGGAGATTCTTACTATACTATTAATAATATATACTTTCGATATACTAAATAGCTTCTTATTCTAACCTTAACCCTATATTTAATCTTTATTATTATAGGGCCTATATATACACCTTGTCTAATGTAGCGATTATTGAACTTAAGGAGGGTAAGTACTATAACTAAGATTATAAAAATAAATCTATTTGAAAATAATTTAGTATTATTTATAAAAAGTATTTTATGACTTTTATTTATTTCTTTAAAATAAATTAAAAGTTAAAAACATTTTTAAAATAAAATATATATATTATAACATAACATATGGGGAACTCGGACATATAGGGAACTCGAATACTTTTTCAATTATTCTATATACAATCTTGTTCTATAAGCTATACAATCCTTCAATTTCAATTTCGAATTACTTGAATTATTTTCTAGTTCTTTTTCTTTAATTTCTTTTTCTAATTCTTTAATTAAACATTTGCATAACCATCCTTATAGCTTTTTTTTCTTTAGTTTTTTTTTTACTTTATATACTATTTTTAATATTTTCTTAATACTAAAGATAAATTAATCTTATAATTTGATTCTTTTATTTTTAATTCTCTTTTTTCAAATCTCAACTATCTTCTAAATATTAAAGAATTATTTCTAAAGTAAGGCTATTTCAGTATTTTGAGATTCTGTAAATTTAGTTATTCTTTTAATATATTAATAAATTAATAATATAAAAGAATTACTATTTATTAAAACTATATTAAAGATCTAATTTACTTATTTTAATTTTATTCTATTTGAAAAAGAATTTCTAAGTATAAACAAATCTAGATTTTAATTAGAAATTCTTATTTATAGAATAGAAAATTACTAAAAGAAATTAAATAATAATAAATCGAGTATTTTTTATAGAGTAAAAGATATTAAATTAGTTTTTCTCTAATTAGTTTTAATATTAAAAGAATTTAATACTTTTTTTCTAATATTTTAAAAAAGTTTTATTCATTTAGTTTTTTAGATTCACTTTATATTAGTTTAAAAATATTAATCGATTTTTAAAGTATAATATTGTTTTATTAGTTTATATACTATAATATCAAATAATTGAAATAAATAAAAGTAATAAAAAAATAATATAAGTAAATCAATATTATTATTTATATAGAAAGTAATAAAGCTATTTATAATATAGTTTGAATAATTATTTATAATCAAAAGTTGAGATTAATTATTTAATATTTTCTTGAATTCTGATTTAAAAACTTTTTTTAATTATTTTAATTTATAGTTATTTGAGATTTATTTATTTATATTAATAAAGAACTATTAATTTTAAAATATATTCTTTAGAATTTATATAGAATTCATATTTTAAATCTTAAAAATGATTATAGATAATAAAGTATTTCTAATTATATTAATATATTTAAATATAATTATTTATTTTTGTTTATTAGTTATAATTTTCTAATTCGATTTTTGAATAGAATTAATTATTATATAAATACTTTGAATATTTCTAACTCCAAATCCGATTTTAGTTATATTATATATATTATCTAATTTATACTTTTACTTAATAAGATATATATGAAATATATCAAATCAAGTTTAAATATTTTCTAAAGTTGCTTTTTTAGTTCAATTAGACTCTAATTAATATAAATAGTATATTTTAAATTCTAAATATTGTTTTTGGAATCTATAGATCTATTTGTAGTCTATAAATAGAATTTCTATTGAAATAAGATTTCGAAATAATATAATTCAAATATATTGAAAACAAATTTCATTAGTTATTTCCTTTATTAATATAAATATAATAAGGAATCTAATAATAATAAATTGTGAAATCCATTATATAAAAGTATTTTCTTTTGTATTTAAAAGAATTTAAACTATTTTATAAATTTGAAAACATATTTTCTTTTTAGCTAATCTATTAGCTAGAGTAGATTTAAGGATTTCAAAATACTTTATAATCTTTCTAATTGATTTAAATTCTTTTAATTGAAATGAAATTATAATCTTTTAAAGCTTCTCTTCAATTTGAATAAATATAAAAAGTAATTGAATATATATAATAAAAGTTATTATAGTTTCAAGTTGGTAATAGGCTAAAAGTGTTCGAGTTCCCTATATGTCCGAGTTCCCTATATGTTATGTTATTAAATTTTGATTTTTTAAATTATAATATATATTTAATTTTTGATTTAATTTTGATAAAAAAGAAAAAGAATTTAATTAAAAATAAACTATTATTATTTTGAAGAAATATTTTATAACTTTTATTTCATTTTTATAATTCAAATTAAAAATTAAAAATCATTTAAAATGTATTATTAATATTAATATTGAAATTAAAATTTAATTTCTTATATAATAATACGTATTTTATTTTAAAAATAAAGATTCTAAAAACAAAAGAAATTCAATTAAAAATAACTATATATTATTAATAAAAAATGTTTTATAATCCTTATATTATTCTTCTAATTCAAATTAAGACTTATAAAGTTTTTAAATGAGAATATATATATTAATATTAATATTCAATTTCTGAATAATAATATATATTTTACTTTTAAAAATAAAAACTAAAGAAGAAGAAATGTATTAAAAAATAATTCAATATTATATGTGAAAAATATTTATAACTTTTAAGATATTTTTTTAATGAAAATTCAAAGTCATAAAGTTTTTATAATAAATTATATATATTAATATTATAATCTAATTTCCTAGGTTGGAATATATATTTAATATTTAATCTATTTTTGATTAAAAAGTAAGAAATTAATAAAAATTAATTTAGTATTATTAATAGAAAGTAATTAACAGATCTTTTATTATTTATCGAAAAGGAAATATATTATTAGGTTTTAAAACAAAATATATATATGAATATTAATTTCGATTTTGAATTTTTTTAAATAATAATATATATTTGATTTTTAGTTTATTTTTAATTGAAAAGAAATAAAATAAAGTAAAAACGATATAATATTATTTATGGATAATATTTTATAACTTTTATTTTATTATTTCATTGAAAATTAAAAGTTATAAAATATCAGAAGTATATTTTTAGAATTAATATTAAGATTTAATTTTTGAAAAATTATTTTGTTTTATTTAAAAAAGAAGAAATTAAGAAAAAGGAATTCATTTAAATATAATTAAATATTATTTATAGAAAGTTATTTACAACTTTTATATATGATTTTAAATTTAAATTTAAATTTAAAAAAATTTCAAAATAGAATATATATATATATATATTAATATTAATCTTTTTATATTCTCAGATAATAAGTTATATTTAATTTTAAATTGATTTTTGATTAAAAAAAATATTGTAAAATATAATAAAATATTATTTAATATTATTTATAAATAATATCTTATAAGGGTTATTTCATTTTTTTGATGAAAATTAAAAGTTATAAAATATTTGAAATATATTATTAATATTTATATTAAGATTAAGTTTTTTAAATATCAATTCATTTTTTATTGGAAAAATACAAAGAAAAGTAATTTAATGTAAAACAATATAATATTATTAATAAAAAACCTTTTATAACTTTAATTTTATTTTCTTAATTTAGATTAAAAGTTATAAAACATTTAAAATATATTTTTAATATTTATATTAAGATTTGAATTTTTTGATAATTAATTTAGTTTATATTTAAAATAAGATATTAAAAAGAGAAATTTAATTGAAAATAACTTTATATTATTATATTATTAATAAAAATAATTTTTTAAATTATATTTTATTTATTTATTTTTTTTTATTTTCTTTTATTTAAAAGTTATAAAGTTATTGAAATAAAATATTTATAATGAAATTAAAATTCAATTTCCTATAAAATAAAATGTATTTTTTTTAAAAGAAAAATTTAAAAGAAAGGAAATTGATTTAAAAGAATTTGATATTATTCATAGAAAATATTTTATAACTTTTTAATTACTTTTCTAATTTAAATTAAAAGTCAAAACCCTTTTTTAATATATTATTAATTTCAATATCAAAACTCAATTTCTTTTAAAGTAATATATGTTTTATTTTAAAAACAAAGATTTAAAATAAAATCTATTTAAAAGCTCTTTACTATTATTTACAAAGATTATTTTATAACTTTAATATTGTTTTTTTAATGTAAATTCAAAGTTATGTAATATTTAAAATATATTATATATCTTAATATCAGATTATGATTTTCTTCATAATTATATATATTAAAACTTGAATTTATTTTCAATTCAAAAGAGAAAATAAATATTTAAAAATAATTTAATATTATTTATTAAAAGTATTTTATAACTTTCATTTTATTTTTTTAATTCAAATTAAAAGTTATGAAATATTTGAAATACATTATTAATATTAATATTAAGATTCAATTTTTTTTATAATAAATATATTTTATATTAAAAAACAAAAAGAATAATAATAATTAATTTAATTACTTTATACCTTTTCAATTATTCTTTTAATCAAAATTAAAAGTTTTCAAGTTTTTTTAATATTATTAGAATTCAATAATAAGGAATATATCAGGAAGGGATTAATAAACTATAATAAGAGATTATACAAAAAGGTATATATTCTTCAATTGAAATTAGGGTTATACTTTAATTAATTTAGAGTATATTTAACTATTTATAGATTATCCTTTTAAAGTATTAATATTCTAGCTTCCTAATATTTCTTTTTATAGTATTATAGATCATAGATTTATTATAAGCTAAACTAATAATCTTTAAATTAAGTTTTTATTAATACTAACTTCTCAATAATCACTAAGCGATTGGTTTATAGTTGTCCTAAGATCTCCCCAACTAATTAATAATATTCTATACTAATAAATATATTATTATTATTAATATTAAAATTTAATATTTAATATTTTTAATAATAAAGCTCTTTTATATTAAATAACAAAAGAAACAAAAAATAATTATATTAAAAATAATTATATTAAAAATAATTTTTTATTATTAATAACAAAAGCTTTATAACTTTTATATAAATTTTTTAATCAAAATTAAATGTTATAAAGTATTCTTAATATATTCTTAATATTAATATTAATATTCAATTTTTTAAATAATATTATATATTTAATTTCTAATAGTAAGAATTTTAAAATAAGAAATCTTATTAAAAATAATTTCTTATTATTTATACATAATATATTATATAATTTTCAATAAAAATTAATTAATTAAATTAAAAAACATAAAGATTTCAAATTAAAATATATATATTAATATTAAAATCTTTTAAATAATATTATAAATTTTATTTTCAAAACAAAATCTTAAAAGAAACAAAATTTAATAAAAAAGAATTTGATAGTATTTATGAAAAATGTTTAATAACTTTAATATTTTTTTTTTTAAACCAAAAGTTATTAAGTATTATAAATATGTTATTAAATTTAATATTTAAATTTATATATAATAATATATATTTTCATTTGAAAATAAAGATTCAAGAAAAAAATCTATTTAATTTTTTTAAAAAAAAACCTTTGTAACTTTCAATTAAAATTAGAAAAATAAATCAAAAGTTATAAAGTTTTTTCAAAAAATATATATATTAATGTTAATTTTCAGTTTTTCTAAATAAATACATATATCTAATCTTTAGTTTATTTTTACTTGAAAAGAAATAAAATCAAATCAAAAACAACTCTCTATTTTTTATAAATAATATTTTATAACTTTTATTTTATTATTCTTTTGAAAATTAAAAGTTATAAAATATCTGAAAAATATAATTATAATTAATATTATCATTTAATTTATAATTTATTTTCAATTAAAATAAAAATAAATCTAATCGAGAATAATTTAATAATATTTTGTAACTTTTATTTCATTTTTCCAATTTAAATTAAGAGTTATAATATTTGAAATTTATTATTAATATTAATATTAAAATCTTATTTTTTATATAATAATATATAATTTATTTTAGAAATGAATATTATTAAAAGAAGATAAGTAACTTAAAAATATTAAAATATCATTTATAAATAATAGCTTATAGCTTTCAATAAAAATTAATTCATTAAATTGAAAGTTAAAAAGTTTTATAGAAAAGGAATACATATTAATATTTAATTTTAATTTTCTAAATAATAATATACATTTCATTTTTTAATACAAGAAAAAAGAATTCAATTATAATTTATAAAATGTTATTTATAAATAATATTTTATAACTTTAACGTTGATTTTTTAATTTAAATTAAAAGTTATTAAATATTTTCAACATCTTAGTAATATTGATATTAAAAATTAATTCTTCATATAATATAATACATTTTATTTTATATTTAAAATAAAGCTTCAAAAAAAGGAAATTCATTCAGAAATTGATTTAATTTTATTTTCGAAAAATATTTTATAAATTTTTATAAATTTTTTAAATTATAATCAAAAGTTATAAAGTTTTCAAGTAAAATTATATATAATAATATTTAAATTAAAATATTTTAATAATAGTTTATGTTTGATTTTGAATTTAATTCTAATTAAAAAAAAGAAATTTAATCATATTTAATTCAATATTATTTATAGCAAAGAGAGCCTCTTGTCATCGGACATAGGTGATTTATAGATAGTATTTTATAACTTTCATTTTATTTTTTTAATTCAAATTAAAAGTTATAAAATATTTGAAATATATTATTCATATTAATATTAAGATTCAATTCTTTAATGATCAATTTATTTTATATTAAAAGAATTTAAAGAAAAGAAACTCAACTTAAAATAATCTAATATTATTAATAAAAAATGTTTTTTAATTTTTATATTATTCTTCTGATTTAAAGCTATTGAAAGATAGATTTGATTAAAAACGTACTCGATTTTTAGGGAAGATATTCTAATCAATCTATAAGTAAATGAAATTGTGAAAGATTATAATAAGAAGAGATTACTCGAAATGACTGTCAATTTGACAACTCGAAAACACGTGATAGCATGAATTCCGCAGTTTAGCCGTCCAGGACCGCTCGCAATGAGTCGAGTACAGCCCATCAAGTATCACTTCTATCACCATGCAATTCAAGCACGAAAGGCACATCAATAACAACGATTCGATATTTGTGACCCCCAGTAATTGATCTAATCAATTTAGTTGGTGGCATAGAAATTTACTACTGCTAATGCCGTCCGCCGTTTCCAGTATGTGCTAACATTTAATTCTCCCACGAATACACAGTCTTCCCCTCCTCAAACTTTCCACCCTTGGGTCTCCACATAAGCCAAACACGATACGGCTTAGGTGCAATGGCTTTCTTCAATTTCGCGAACTCCTCTTCATCGCCCTTTGTGGCAGGTGGTACCTCAAGGAAGAAAGAGCGAACAATGGCGAATCCATGGGCTTTGTACAATTCACGTCCATCATCAGTAGACTCTACGAATGCTTCGAGTCCCTTTTCGTCGGCGAGCTTGCAACCCCATTGCATCATCAAGCTACCTGCTCCTTTACGGCGGTGCTCTGGATCTACGAAGCAATAATTCAAGACTGGTGTTGTCAGACAGAATTAGTATCTCAATATCATAAAGGAATGTGCGAGAAGGAGGGGTGCTCACGCAAGTGTGGACGATTCATGACTGAAGGGCGACCTCCAAAGAATGTTTCGAATAAATTGTCAGAAATTGTCTTCAGTGGTCCTGCATTCAGGTGTGTGTCAGCAGTTGTAATAGTCTTGGGGTTGTCAAGTAAGATCGCGTTATACCTTCTGGCCACCAAGTGGCTTTCACAATCGGCTGTTGCTTTTCGAACGGATTTGTTTCATGGACAATCCACTCAGCACCACTGATTATCTTATTTCCATCCTTTACAGTGAGCCAGTGGCTGTTTGGGGTGCCTATATGCCAAGCCCATTGTCGCTCAGCACATTCTTCGATGTTGGGACCTTTGAGGACTTCCCATAGACTGTTTGCTGGTGTGGCATAAGCTTTGTGCTCGACTTTAACTACTTCAGCAAAGTCGGCTGCGTTGGTAATTTCTAATAACTGCAGTGCCATTTTGTAATTGAGAATTGTATCGAAAACTCGGTTTGTTGTTGTGTTTGATTTATTGTGGCTCGCGAGATTGCATTGGATTATATGCTCTTAGATGTCTAAGAACAGTTTAAATATTTGGGATCTGACCTCTTCGGTAAAAAACTCGCCCGATGATTACAAGAGTTTCGACCGAGGAGGTATCCAGCCGTAAGGCAGTGCAACGTGCAGGTCTAGTGCGTTTCAATCACTTACCCCTCTGCTGCCGCAACCGTTGACGGTGCGATGCAGTGGGTGGGGGTTTCATTCATTCGCGGAACCCCTAACATACTCTCTGCATGTGCCGTAGTCAGGCTTCATTCACTCGTGGAAACCCCTGCCATACTCTTTGCATGTGCCGCAGCCTTACACACTCGGTGTGGACTGTGCATTCAGTTCGATAAGTGCAACATTGAATCCTGAGCGATTGCCACCCACTTGCACATACTGATCCATGTTTCTCTTATCTAGAACTGTATTTATGGAACTTTTATGGAATTAAATATGTGAAGTTTCTACGAATTCTCTCAAAAACTGCACTGCATCTTCCTTGGGATCACGTGCACAGCATATTTATATTATCGTAAATTGCCTGCCACAACCGCCGACCGTTAGGTGCACCACGCCTAGTGTTTCTGCTAGTTTTCCCACTCAGGTCCTATCAGCACTGGTAAAAGCCCAATTTCTCTTTCCAAATTCCACGCTTCCAAGTTATCAAAATCTACACAAACACGCTCCGAGTTTGTCTTTGTGCGGGGCTTTCGCGTGCCATTACGCTCCCATTGGAAACTATAAAGAGCAGTATTTCCAGAGCAAATAATGGATTGCCTGATTGCATCGATGCAATGATTTGTAAGACATTAGTTCGATATGCTATCAAATAGATCAGGTTTGTAACTTGCCAAAATGCATGACTTCATAATCTTTTTCGGCGGGGTTTGATTCAATTGTGGGATAGTAGTGTTCTTTGTAGAGATATAGTTTCAGGCGACGCTAACTCACGATTAGCAAAGCTTTGCTGGTAATTCTCGTACCGTCTTACCAGACAGTGCAACTCGTGATAAACTCCGAGCGATCCCATGTATCCGCCTCCTTCTACCTTCACTGAATGCTCCGGGTCTTCCTTAGCTATCACCATCTCCTCATGTGAAACTCGAATGAGGCTGGCTAAATTCGCAGATGATGGGAGTTAGTTCCGTAATGTCTTGATACAGCGATATTGCAATACACTTACGCCGAACCAAATCTAGCCATGCCTTCCAAGATGCATCCGATGGTGGTCCAACGAAGTCGTTGGTTCCAGCCGGTGCACTCTCCTTGACTGTGTATCGAATTGCCTCGGTTGCCGGTGCTTTTATTAGAAAATCAGTCTCGGTATTCCTCTCCATCTCAGCCCAGGGAACTTACAGTATGGAATAGCAGGTACGCGATAGCCAGAGGAGGCAGCTTCTTGATACCATGTCAACATCAAGAATGGAACTGAAGCAATGAAATAAGCGAAGAGGAAGACAACGACACAGATAAACCATGTGTTTCTTTGTTGACAAAGATAACCAGAATTGCATTGTGTTTGACAATGGTGATTTTCGAGCCGATCACTAATATACTTCTCGACAATGTTTGTATGACACCTAGGGGGTAGGTGTTATACAAAAAAAAGCTTGGCAATACCTGGTTGGCAATACCTAGGTGGCACCCCACACAAAAATCGTATTTTTTTTTAAATTTATTAAAAGTGGAGTTGAGAAATCTCAGAACGCACAGACATTATTTTGAACCCCAAATTAGGATTCAATGAATTTCTAATAAATTTTATCAATATTATTAATTTTATCAATATTATCAATTTTATTTTTAAAATTTATTAAAAGTAGAGTTGAGAAATCTCAGAATATACAGATATTATTATTAATACTAACTATTATTCTAAGGAATTTTTTGCTGATTATTAATTCTAGTAACTATTTTTGATAGAGAGCTAATAACCAGCCAAAAAGTTTCCAATTGGTTACCAACCCTATAAAATACAATTTAGATCTTTTCGAAAATTTGAAAAGAGGAATAGATAAAAATTCAATTGAATTATATTTATTCGAAAATTGAATTGAATTATCTTCTAAATTGATTGATTTATAATATTAACCCTAAAGATCGAATCTAAATGATATCAAAAAACGTTTAGATAATTTTGCAAAAATGAGAATAGTGACCAGTGAAAGGGTTAGGGTTAGGGTTAGGGTTAGGGTTAGGGTTAGGGTTAGGGTTAGGGTTAGGGTTAGGGTTAGGGTTAGGGTTAGGGTTAGGGTTAGGGTTAGGGTTAGG